ACCGTAGTATTTTACCTTTCAATCAGTTTCCCCAAGTCAAATTCGGTTACGGAACGAAGTTTAACAATGCCAGTGAAAAATCCTATAAAGTCGAAGTGTGAAGGTGCAAAAATTCCTAAAAAATAAGTGATCATTCCAAAACCCCCTCTCTTTTTCCCTCTTTGTTATTGGGTCAATTCGAAGCCCCCTTCCTTTACTTTACTTTCAATTTCACCTCAACCTTCACTTTTCTCTTCAGATGCGGATTTTCAACCTTATCTCTACAATTAATATAACTTAATACAAAAACAAACCATCCATGGCATTTCCTCCTGAAATCTCTTTTGTTGTGCCTGTTGATACATTGAACAGCGTCATCCAGTCCAATTCATCCTAAATTCATGCCTCATTATCCAAAAACAAAGAAAAACGTCGAATTATGGTGTTCGTTGAATAAACAGTAACAAAGCTGCTGGGATTTCTGTTAAAATCAATAAACGCAGAATACCCCAATTACATATAAATGAAAGTAAGAATGCTCTACCTTCTTCAACGCTTAAGAATGACAAAACGGTTCGCTTAAAATAGAAATGCGAAACAAAAATTGAGCCAAAATCCAAAATTGGATCCAAATAGACACAAAATTTAGATTTCATGTGCAAAATTTAAAAAGATAATGAAACCCGTCATTATTCACTGATATATTAACGAAGAAAAGGTAATGCGACGTCAGTCCCTGGTACTAGTAGCGACGGCAATGTCCAATACAAACCAAGGAACTTCCAACACCGTACGGCCTTCCCAGATGCTCTTTTTAGGGAGGATCGCCGAACCGGCCAACCACCAGGGGAGATGAAACGAACGTCAGGATCGCCAGTAAGCTGATTTCCGGCCAGCGAAACTTGAAAAACTGCTAGTTGCACAGCTGAAGAATCAAATCGTGAAAAAACGCTGATCCAACCATTCCACGTAAGTATTCCACACAAAAATCGAAGTACAAAATGAGGTCAAATACGGGTATGACCCCATTACAATACATTTTTTGCGAGGAAGAGGCCAAAGGCCAAAACACATCAAAATCTCGATTAGAAATCAGTTGGGTAACAGAAAATTCCAAGCAAAATCAACAAACCTCAGCTAATAATCCACCGATATAAGTACTTGCATCAACGTCTTCTCGAGCGAAAACTCCAGGTGGAAGATTCCCGCCCCAGACTCTCTCATGACGGTTACTCATTTTCGCATTTGAGGAAGCCTTCGAATCGGGAAACGCTTTGTTGAAAGCCGAAGAAAGCGTCGAAGACCAGCTGTACGGCGGTGGTGGACTTGAAGTACTAGGTGGTGTTGCGTATTGCTGCTGCTGTTGTTGCTGCTGCTGCTGCTGCGCGGATTCACCTGCTGGAATTTTTAAGAGTAATTGCGCATTGTCAAAAAAAAAAAAAAAAAATCCTTGAAAAAACAGAGCAAGCTCGAAATATTACCACGATACCAAAAAGACCAAGATCGCCTGAGCTGTCAGTGTGTGTCTGTGTATGTGTGCGTGTATGTGTGTGTGTGCAAGTGCGTGTGTGTGTGTGTGTGTGTATCTCACCTAACTGATGTTACTTGGAATGCTCCCACACGCCGAGCGCCACTATGTCAAACTTCTCGACTCTCATCTAATTTTTATGCGTTTTGTGCTGTGTAACAGCAGTACAAAACGCATATTGTTGCGGGGTTGTCTGTGT